TCTGTAGGATGGTATAAATTTGGCGTGCTGTGAGCATGGTGGTGTGAATACTGGTTACTGACCTGGGCATCTTGAAACAGGTTTTTCAGGGATTTTCCTTGCACTTATCAAAGGTCTCTCCTGCAGCTTTGCACTAGGTAACCTGGTTAAAATAGTAACTGTCTTCTCTGGAGCATAACGCAGGATTGTTCAAGGCTTCACCAAGCTAAGGGAGTGTCAGTGATCCTGCTTTAATTCAGCCTTCGGAAGTGCTGTGGAATAGATGAGGCTGTCCTAATGGTGGGTCTCTGCAGCTGAAAGCAGAGCTGTGTAAAGAAATGCAATCTGATTAAATAACTTGATTTTTTTTTTCTTTTCCTCCCTCTGATTGAGGGGATTGTACCTGCATCGCTGAGGTTGTGTTACCTTCCTCCCAAAAAGACCCACTGTTGGAGTGTCTTGGGGCCCTTTCAAGGGCTGCTTTTCAATCCATCGCACTTAAATGAATCTGAGCTGGAACTTGGCTCCTTGCCCTCTTTAAAATGGTGTTATCTTTCTTGTACCTTATCAGATCGAGATGCTGCTTCAGTGATGTTGTGCTCCTGTGTGCAGTGGTGAAGCAGTGAGGAGGATGAAGAATACGTCTGCTGCAAGCAGGCAGAAGGATTAGTTCTGCTTGAAGGGTCTGACACAGATCCTCATCTCCAAGAGGGGGGACAGTGAGCATGTGGATTGGGCATCAGAAATAGGAAAGCTCACCCTCCCCTTTTCTGTAGATGAGGAGGAGGAAATCTGAATAAGAAGCTCTTTGTGTGTGCTTATCTATATACTGTCTCATTTAGCCTGAGGTTTTCCCACATCTGCTCCTATGCATGAAACAGCAGACGGAGACACATTGCTCTACTGAAATGTTGGGCATTAGAAAGCTATTTTTTGTTGTTGTTGCCTTCCCAATAAGCCTGTGGCCTTTTTATAATGTTTCGTACTTTTAACTTGCTTACATGTGACTACTGCCATACAGTAAGATTGAAACATCTGCTTTTCTAAATGTTTCAGCAAGGCAAAACTGTTTCAGCAGGTTGTGTGTTTGAAGCGTGATACCCAGTTGGGCGCAACTCAGCTTTGAGTCTGTAAATAGAAGTTTTAATCTCTGTCCCGGCGTTTCATTAGCTAGGTTTTCATGTGGGAGAGAGGCCCACGGTAGCCCAAGATAGCATGGGTCGTATACGTGGCCTTTTTCTAGAAGTGTTTGGTTTAGCTAACTGGCATTCATAGTGAGCTTTGTGGCTTTCTGTAACAGTGCAACTCTGTCCGTGGCACTAAAATCACAGCTGGTAAACATCTCTTATCCAAAATCTGTTCGTTGCGTGTTCCTCCACCTGCTGCAGTATGGCTGTGCATGAGATCCAAACCCAAAGAGGCCTTGGTGGCTTCACCGAGCACACGGCTGCTTCTGTAAAAGCAGGTGAAACAGTGGGCCACTCCTGTGCATCGTTCCCATTACTTGGATTCATACCACGCTATGGTGAAACCTCTTGTAACTGATCTTTTTCCTGGTAAATCTTCACTCAAGGGGTAGGATGGTGGCGGGAGGATGCTGTAAATCATCTGTTCTGGCTGGTGAAGGAGCTGGAGGTTGGTGAGCAGCTCTGGGCTTGGAAGACCCCAAGAAGCTCTTTCTGGAACTCCGCTCTTCGCAAAAGCTGCTGCAGGGTTGCATCGGTTTATTCTGAGGAGGTATATTTAGGTCTGGAAGAGTAATTACACAGCTTTGAATAAGTCTTGAGTTGGAAGAGGGCAAAGCTTAGCTTGGCAGGGATTCAACCTTCTGGGAGTCTTTCTGCAAAATGGTACAGACGGCTTTTTTAAAATAAAACTTCTGAAGACCCGTTGAATTGGCACCTAGTACCAGGCATTGGTCTGATCTATTTCTGGCTCTGCAAATACAGAGTAAAACTTAAAATTAGACACTTCTGGTTTTAAGCTATTAGTTTCTGCTTTTCTTGTAGGTGCCTTGTGATTAGGATGGAAGGAAACGCCTCTCTCGGTGCAGCCCTCACCACGCATCTTGTGTGTTTTTGGTTTCTGTGTGATGGTTCCTAATTTTACATCAGAGAATATTCTAGGTCTAAATACAAAACTGCTCCTCATCTGAGTCCACTTTTTTTCCCTATTTTAGTCTTCTCTAATTACCAGCCTAACGATAGCTTGGTGGGAGGTGAATAGACAAAGCCCATTGCTTCCCCACATGCCATCTTTTGGAAATGTGGAACTAATTTTTTAGAGTTTGACTTGAAACAATAGTGCTGTCACTTGCTTGTCTAATGATACAGACCCAGCCCTCATGCTTAAAAGCCACCCTTTACAGTAAGAAATAAAGTTGAAAGTCATAGTTGAATGATTGTGAAACTTGTGACTGGAAAGCAGCTTTGAATTTTATCTTGTAAACTCCTTTCTGCCCGGTGCAGACTATTCTGAAGACATAAAAAGCCCCAAGCTACGCATGCACCTGCAGCTCAGGTTTGGGTTCGTGGTGCTGTGGGTAACATAACCCCCCCCAAATCCTTTTCCTAATCCCTTGCACCGTGTGGTATCTACAGCAGTTTTGGAAAGCCAACATACATCCTTAATAAGAAGCAGAATGCCTGTTAGCAGAGCTTATGCTAACAGCAAATTAGCTATGAAGGAGCTCTATTACTAATCAGTACTTTTTGCCATGGTTTGAAGTAATTAGCCTTCATTGGACTTAGCAGCATCCAGCAGATGCTTAAGCATAGCCGCATTGTAATACGAGCGAGAACTCATGAGTAAGGAAACTCGCACGCTAGAGCAGTTCTTGCCAATCCTACTGACAAAGCAGCTGTTGGGGAGCCAGGCGCATGCAATGGGCGTTCAGGAGCTGGAGCTTGGTCACTTAAATATTAGCTCATGACACGAGTTAGAGCTCTGAGCCACGTCTGTGAGCGAGGTTTGCAGCAATGGGCTGTTGTACCTGTCTCATCTGAAGACCGTTCCTTGTAGCTGCCTTCCAGGATTCATCTTGAAGCTCTGCTGTCGTTACAGAATTAGCACTAGCCTTGCTCTCTAGAAAATAGCAGCTCCTTTTTAAAGACGATTAATGCTGCTAAAATATTCAGTGTTTTCTGCATCCCTTGTACCTTCCTTGTGTTTCTGAAGCATGTGTGTTCACAAGCGTTTTCTGTTCTGTTGAATTCCTGTTTTCATCTGTACCTGAATTTTCCTTCCTTTAGGTCATTCGAGATATCTACTGTTAAGTGAGTTTTAAGGCACCTCACAGGTGAAATATAACTTGCCTAATTTGGCTGGCTCAGTGAATATTTGGTTATAGGCAAAGCCTTTTTAATCCCTCTGGAAGTGTTTCTTCTGTCTGAAGGAGCTGGAGTGAGCGGAGTGGAGCAATGAGAACCAGATCTCATCTTGAATTAATCCCAGATTCAAAGGTATTTTCGGCACTTAGATGTCTCACTTTTCAATGACTTCAATAGCTAGCCTTAGTTCTGTCTGGAAGGAGTTTAAGTTCACTGCCTTGAAGGAATTGCTGCCTTCTGTTTTCCCACATTTTAAACAGAGATGATCAGCCTTTATCTGCATTACAGAGGATTACAGGTTTCAGTTCTTTGTCAGTTACTCCTTTTCTGTTCTCTGTCTTTGCCTTGGCCAGCACATTCGGGTCCAACAAAATAGCTTGGAGGACTAGCAAGGACCTCCTGGGTCAGGATCCAGTCCTTGTGCCTGTCCTGTTCGGCTCACCTCGAGGTTAGAGAAGGGCTTGTTGGGCTTCTGCCCCTTCCATCCCAAGAGAGTTGAGGCAGTACCAAGACTGATCATTCTCCCCTTTGCCACTGATCTCTTTGGCTCGCACCGTGCCTGCGTCAGATGGTGGGAAGCCTCCCTTTCCCTGCTAATGCAAACAGTTTATCAGGTGCCCTTACCCCTTTGTCCTGTGCTAAGAGGAGAGATAACAGCAAGACGCAAACTTGCTAGCTCATAGCTGTCAAAAGTGCCTTCCCTTCCCTCCCCCCCGGCCTCCTTACTTTGAGACCTTCATTGGCTGAGGGCCAGGCTCCGAGCTATAAACAGATCAGGTCCTGCAGAGGATCCGTGGGGAACGAGAGCCCCGTGGAAGGACCCACACACCTTGTTTCCAGGCTCTTTTGAACCTGCCTCTTTTGAAGGGTGAAATCCAGCGTCCCCTGAGGGCTCTGCAGAAGCCAAAGCTGTACCTGAAGTGACTCCTGTGCTCAGGAAGGTTTCTTCTCTTTTCTTCCTGCGGGCTTAGGCTACACTGGAGCCGTGTGCTTCTCCTCTCACCCTGGAGATCAGGGTAGGCTGCTCAGAAGCTGTGCAAGCCAAGCCACCTCCTCCCAGGCTGAGACTGCTCTACGGTTTGAACCCTCACCCCCCCCATGATTTGAAGCACAGTGTTTGCTTGGCGTGCTCCTGTCTGTGTGCACCCAGGAGCATTTCCACGTGCATTTTTGTCTTCCTTCGAGCTGGCCGTCCTCACTGGCTTAGTCCCAGCATAAGAAGAAGGACAGCTGCCTGGGAAGGACAAGCCATCAGGACATGTAGCACATTTGCTGTACAGAGGCTGTAGAAAAAAGGCGCATTGTAGAAAGATAAGCTTGCGAACCTTCAGCCCAGTTCGGTTACGGAGGTTGGATCTGTCCAGGACAGACGGTGAATGAGCTAAACCAGCTAAGCAGAAAATGTCGGAGAGCTTGTGAGAGTTTTGAAGGCAAGCTCTGTTGATGGGATGATTAGTCTTCCCTGTAACCTAGGTGGATTTTACCTGTATTGACTAGTGAAAAACTTGATGCTAACATAACACCTTTGTGTGGTACGGTTTCAGGTGGTATTGTAGAGGATCTTTGCAGGCCAGATCATCGGTTATTAAAAAAGATACTTAATAGTCAGGATTGATACGGCTTTGTACCTTTATTTGAAGACTGTTTTTTGTTTTTTGTTGTGGTTTTTTTTTTTTTTTTGCATTCTCATAGAGAGGAAGTTCAGGAAAACTGTGTCCGCTGGAAAAAGAAATTCACCTTTGTGTGTAAAATGAGTGCCAACCCAGCTACAGGACTCCTGGACCCCTGCATCTGCCGAGTATCTGTCCGTAAGGTGAGCATCTAGCTTCTGCTTCTGGCAGGTAGTGCCACCAGTGTACTGATGTTGGTTACCAGCTGCTTTTTTGGCAGCAAGAAGAATTGCATGGACACTGGTGGGAAGGAAAGATTGTTTAGGTCAGGACGGAGTGTCTCTCTCTCCAGCATGGGTGCTTGATGGAGGGTGGGAGCGACCGGGGTACTGGTAGCCCTTGAGAGACAGAGGTTTGTGAAATCCTGAGAGCGAATTCCAGGACTGAGTAATGATTTTCTCCCTGTTTCCCCAGCACATATAATAGCTGCTTTTCCTGTTTGTTTTGTGTCCCGTTATAGGAGCTGAAGGGCGGAAAAACCTACTCAAAGGTAAGAGTAAAAGGCAAATGTGGCAGAGTAATGATGGTCTTGTCTTCTGTTAGTGCCTTACACCCATTAGAAACCAGTGGCTGCTGTGTGAAGCAATCTGGAGAGGCAGTCATTAGTTCTTAGTTTAAGCCCGAGTTAAGTGATTTCCCAAAAAAGTTGACTTGCTGGGACAGGATCCAGATTGCACTGGATGTGGATTTGAGAAGGGGGTTGGGAAGATGATCTGCATGTCCTCAAACTTTGGGGAAGTTCTGAGTCAGATGTGAACTCTCTGGCTTCTGGCAACGTCTTGCTAATAAAGAAACACAGACTCCAGTTCTGTTCTCCAGAGCACAGCAACCAGCTGTGGCTGGGGTAGGCACCTCGCTGCCTCGTGAGTGCAGGCAGAAACCTACAGCAGAAATCATCACCTTCCAAAACACAAGAGGCATTGAAGCAAAAACCAAACTGATCATCAGGGATGTTTTAGTTTGTTCTGCCCTGTTTTCTTGCCTGTGCTATGGGAGAGACAATGGGCCACCCCCTTCTCTGTGTGCTGGATCAAGAGACAATGTTGGCTTAGAAGTTGAGCTCGCGCAGAGCCCAAAACCATGTTTGTTTGAAAATGAGTCACTGCTGCTAGTTTCTAATAAACAGATGTTCAGGTCACGCATGACCTTGTAAGAATTCTAATCAATATCCTTCCTGAGACCATGGAGGCAACTGGCTTTGAAGGGTGAACTGCACTCGCTGCTATGTACTGCTGTGCTGTGTGATAGAGGGCAATGTTGCTGCCCACACCGTTCCTTTTTTTGTTGCTAATTAGGACACGGTCTCTAGGGCCATCAGTTTCTCTTTCACTAAATTCACGCTGGGGGGAGGTTATTCCTCCATTCTGCAGAGCTGCGACAAAGTAAATGCATCAGCCTGTTCCTCCCGCAGTGTCCATCCTGAAGTTTCCCGCAGTATTTCGAAATGCAGAATTAAAGAAAGCCTGAAGGCACGTCTCCGTGGTGAAGTTAACCTGGACTCTTATTCAGGCCATGTTCTAACCTACTTCCCTTTTACTCAGTCTCCAGTTATGTTTAGTGGCATTTTGAAAGAGACCTAGTTGCTCCAACTCAGAATTGGAGACCAAATCTCAAGTACTTGTCATCTCTTGGGCTGGTATCTTGCTTCTCCTGCGTTCTCCTAGAATTCAACAGAACGTGACCCGAGCACTTCAGCAGCACAGAGGTGAGGGATGTCACACCAGACAGGATGATTAAGCCTTGCAATCTTGCCCTATGGACCAGGCATGTTCCAGGCAGGTCCTTGTGGCAGAGCTACCTGACTTGGGATTCATAACATTTCTAGCAGAAGCGTGCAGTCTATGTTCATGCAACTATTTTCCCATTCTAAACAACAAGAGTCCTCACCTTTTTAAAGTACATTAATTCAGCTGAAAACTCCTCCAGTTGTGCAGAAGAAAACGCAATTTGTGAATACCCTCTTTACCTGGTCTCCCTTTGGCAGGGACTGAGAGCGATGGAGCTGTTTGTGCTCAAGACAGAGTTTCCATTGACTCGTATACCTATTGGTTTGACGTTAATGTGACTTTGATGTCAGGGGTTATAGAGCGGAAGCCAACAGGAAGGACTGATAAAGCGGAAACTACTTTCCCAAGCCGGAAGAA